TAAATACTAAGGAGCACGATTGATGGGTTGTATGGTAAGGGCATATTTAAGTTTGTCTTCCAAGGTACCTGTACCATTTTTCATACCCACTAGCAATGAATGAGAGTTCCTGTTGCTCCACATTCTTGCCCACATGTGGTGTCATTGTTTTGGATTTTAACCATTCTAATAGATGTGTAGTAATATAATTGTTTTAATTTTCAATTCTCTAATGACATATGATTTTGAATATCAAGGGGACCATTATACACATTATGGGAGTTCCAGAAAGAGAAGATATAAATAGAGTTTACCCCATTAGTGAAAGATGGTGGACTAGAATGCTCCAGGCATCTTACCCCACAGAAAAATAAAACAAACCAACAACAAAAAATTAGATATTGGCTAAAATGAATTTATAGAATCTTTGTAATCAGTCAGAGATCTATAGCAACCAAGCCAATGTTCAATATGGAAAAAGCCACATTCAAATGATAGGAACTTTTGTGGCATTTTTACTTGCCTTGACCCACCTTTGCACATGGCTTGACTGAGAGGAAGCAGCCCGATGATACTTCCCTCCCTTAGTCTGGAAGGAGAGGAACAGAACTTATTTTCAATATTCTAAATGTTTGTGGGCTGTTTGAGGGACTGATTTCTGTTTTACCTAACTTGGAGCTATCAGCAGCATAGCTTGGATGTCAGGCTGGTAAATGCTGTAGAAGGTAGTGACACATGCAATAGCATGGGAATGTGGCAGAAGGACTGCAGATCCATGGATACCTGGGGCAAGAGATTACATGAAAAGGAATACAATAGAATGTCTAAGATCCTGAGAAGATACTGGAATGAAATTCTTTAGGAGATTGAGAAATTTAATATCAGCCATGTATATGGGGAGAACTTTTTAAAGCATACATACAAACAGGCCCAGGCAGTATGCATACGAAGATCCTGAGAAGATACTGGAATGAAATTCTTTAGGAGATTGAGAAATTTAATATCAGCCACGTATATGGGGAGAACTTTTTAAAGCATACATACAAACAGGCCCAGGCAGTATGCATACATGAAAAGACTGAGAAGACCTTTAACCTTAACCCCAGGCTGACCCTAAAGTTCATAACACACTCTTCTAATTAGCAAACTTCTTCTCTGCCAGTCTGAAAAGTTTTCAAGAAAGATCACAGGCATAAAAAGAAACAGGAAAACATGTCACACACAAAGAAACTAAATAAATCTTCACAAATCATCCCAGAAGAAACTTAGACATTGGAATTGCTAGACAAAGACTTTAAAACAACCATCTTAAATATGCTCAAAGAGCGAAAGGAAAAATAGACAAAGAACTAAAGGATTCAGGAAAATGATATATTAACAAAATGTGATTGTCAACAGAAATACAGAAATTATATGTACATATATAAAACCCCCAAAATTCTGGAGCTTAAAAATGTAATAACTGAACTGAAAAATTCAGTAGAGGGGTTCAACAGCAGACTCAGACAGAAGATAAAAACTAGGGAACCTGATGACTGTTTGAAATGATCAAGTCTGAGGAGCAAAAAGAACAATGAAGATATGTGAACAGAGTCTAGGAGACTTATGGGACATCATCAAGAGAACTAAGGTATGCATTAAGGGAGTTCCAGGAAGAGAAGAGAGAGAGAAGGGAAAGAGAAAGATTGAAGAAATAATGGCAGAAAACTTTCCAAATGTGAAGGAAGATATGGATCTACAAATCCAAAAACTCAAGGAAAGGAGGGACAAAATAAGCTATAAGAGAGAAATCAACAAAATGGCAAGGTAAGTCCTTCTGTATCATAATTTTTAAAAAATCTAACTGAATTAAACTCTGCAATCAAAAGATATAGAGAAGAGGTTTCTATTAATATTAGACAAAATCGACTTTAATCAAAAGCTGTTACAACAAAGGATGTTATATAATAAAAGGGTCAATTCACCAAGAAGATATAACAATTGTGAAAATATATACACCAAACATCAAGTCAAACATTGACTGAATTGAAGAGAGAAATAGACAATTCTACAATAATAGCAAGAGACTTCAACACCCACTTTAAATAATTGATAGAACAACCTGACAGAAGATAAATATGGAAATAGAGTACCTGAACAACTCTCTCGAGTAATTACGCATAACACATAAAAAGAACATGCCACACAACCACAGAAGAGAATACATTTTTCTCAAGTGCACATGGAAAATTCTCCAGGATAGATCATATCTTTGGCCACAAAATAGGTCTTAATAAATTTAAAGGATTAAAATCATACCAAGTATCTTTTGCAATCACAATGGAATGCAACTAGGTATCAACAGCAGAAGGAAAACTGGAGAACTTTTTTAAATGTGGAAGTTAAACTATAAACTCTTAAAGATACTGTTGGTCAATGAATGACTCAAAAGAAATTTGGAAATATATTGAGACAAATAAAATAGAAAACACAAAATTTATGGGATGCTGTGAAAGCAGTGCCATGAGGGAATGGTTATATGACTTTACAGTTCTTTCAACAATGGCATAGTTCCCCATTACATTGTTGCTGGGATTGAACATTTGACTTGCTTTGGCTTCTGGAATATTAGTGGATGTATATAAACATTTGCCTTAAGTGTTCTTGCGTGGTATGTCTTACGTCTGGTGCTCACACCAATCTCTATGAAAAAAACATGCCTTGGGAAATCAGATTTTGTAAGGGGATAAGCAGTCAGAAGAGGATAAGATACATGGAACATACCTAAACTAAAATTGCAGCCTGGAGCCTGAAACCCTAGCATAGACCAGCTGAATAATAGCTAACCTGCAGAGGGAGCAATATACCTGAGATTTATGGTGTTTTTAATGCAGCATTATTGTAGGAATAGTTAACAAATAATTAGAAAATCTGTAAGTTCAATATTTCTATTTCAACACGATAATTGTTTAATAGAATTTTTTAAAGGTTTTATTGAGGTAAAATTGGCATACAATAAATTAGACATAATTAAACTGTTAAATTCCATATGCCTGTGAAACCATTGCCACAATCAAGATGGTGAACCTATGCATCGAGTTTCCTATGCCATTTATAATCTTTTTCTCTTACTCCTCTCTGTTCCCTTTTCCCCTGGGAAAAACTAATTAATTTTCTGTCATTATCATTTATGTCTTATAGAATTTTATATGAGTGGAATAATGCTGTATGTATTTTTATGTAACAAATAAATAAAAGAAGCTTCTTTTGTTCAATATAATTATCTTGAAATTTATCCATGTTGTTTAGTGTAGCAGTAGTTCATTCCTTTTTACTGTTGAGTTATATACAATTTGTTAACCAGTTGATTGACGTTTGGGTTGTATCCAGTTTTGGGCTATTACAAATAAAGCTGCTATGAACAATTGTTTACAAGTCTTTGTTTAGACCCATGCTTTCAATTCTCTTGAGTATATGTTTAGGAGTGGAATGGCTGGATCTTACGGAAGATGTATGCTTAACTTTTTAAGAAAGTGCTGAGCTGTTTTACAAAGTAGCTGTACCATTTTGCATTCCCACGAGCAGTGGTAATGTTCAGTTTCTCATGCTCTCAAACACTTGGTATGGCCAACCTTTAAAATTTTAGACATTCTAATAGGTGTTCAGTTGTGGTAGCTTATTGTGGCTTTAATTTGCATTTCCCTAATAACTAATAATGTTGAGCATCTTTTCATATGATTACTAGCCTTCCATATATTTTATTTGGCAAAGTATCTGTTCAAATAATTTGACCATTTTTGTATTGGATTGTTTTCTTATTACTGAATTTTGAGAGTTCTTTATATATCTGGATACAAACCTTTTATAAGAGATATGACTTGTGAATATTTTCTCCCAGTCTATGGCTTGTCTTTTGATTCTTTTAAGTGTCTTCAATAGCAGAAGGTTTTAATTTTAATGAAGTTCAACTTATTGATTTGTTCTTTTACGAGTCATGCTTTCCATGTCATATCTTTTTTTTTTTTTTTTTTAAAGATAACCGGTAAGGGGATCTTAACCCTTGGCTTGGTGTTGTCAGCACCACGCTCAGCCAGTGAGCAAACCAGCCGTCCCTATATAGGATCTGAACCCTCGGCCTTAGTGTTACCAGCACCGTGCACCGCACTCTCCCGAGTGAGCCACGGGCCGGCCCTCCATGTCATATCTAAGGAATTTTTGTCTAACACAAAGTCACAAAATTTTCCCTTAAGTTTTCTTCTTGAAGTTTTTTAGTTTACAGTTTTGCATTTAGGTAATGGATACCATGAAGGTTAATTCTAGGTGTCAACTTGGTTAGATGAAGGAATGCTGAGAAACCTGGTAAAAGCTTTTTAGGTGTGTCCATGAGGATGTTTCCAGCAGAGATTAGTATGAGAGTTTGAGTGGACTGGGTGGGAAAGACCCACCTGTAATGTGGGTGGGAACCATCCAATCCACTGGGAGTCTGGAGAGAACAAAAGACAGAGGGAAAAGGTGAATCTCTCTATCCACTGGAGCTGGGATACACTCTTCTTTCCTGTCTGTGGACATCAGAGTTCAAGACTCTTCAGCTTTTGTGTTCCAGGACTTACACCAAGGACACTACCAGCTTCCCTGGTTTGAGGCCTTCACACTTGGACTGAGGCACACTACCAGCATCCAGTTTACAGACAGCCTATCACAGGACTTTTCTTGACAATGTGTGAGCTAATTCCCCTGATAAATCCCTCTCATATACTTATAACATATCCTATTGATTCTTTCTCTTTGGAGAACCCAAATACAGATATATTTTGAATTAAAAATTTTTTTACTGTGCAATGTATGTAATTAGAAAATATGCTTTGCATTATTTCTACTTTATAGATTTAACTGAAATTTTTAATATGAACATATGGTTATTTTTTTGACTGTTCCTTTTGGAATTTGAAAGTATACACAATCTCTGTTACTTTCATGAAACATCTGATATACATACTTATATTCCTTATTGATTTTCCTATGTCTTCTATTTCTTGGGTTAGGTTGTCTAACTAACCTGTCCTGAGTTCCAAGGGGTATGTCAATCTCAAGATGGGGCACAGAAGTATGTAAGGTGAGTCTGAGATATCTGGTTGTGACAGGTAATCAATATTTGCCCATAGATGGATTGAGTCGTATTAAGATGATACAAGAACTAGTTTAAAATTTCTCCTTTTTGTAATTTTCATAAAACTTGAATATCAAAAAGCATCATGAATATGTTTATTTACTATAACACACTGTATGGATAATAATTATGTTAATGATTCTCAAACAAAAAGATAATTTTTACTCTGGAAGTGAATGTTGTAACTGGTAATTAAAAGGAAAAGAATTGTGCATTTCCCCTACATTCGAAGGGAAAACTAACTGTTCCAAATTTATGAGGGGAAATTCCTCTTGCATAAAAATCTGAATTAATAAGTATGGAAATGTTTTAAATAGAAAAAAATCATTCTTTTGCAATGCCTTAAAAATATTGATTGAAGCAATGATTCTAAGTATATGATAAAAATTCCAAAGTATCAACCCACATATTATTTACTAATTTCAAAGGGATAATCTAGTGAGTATTGTATTATCAAGTCCTGTAATAGTTAGCATTATTAGGAATGAGACAGCACGATGCTATATGTTACCATATGTGATGTATACAGAGTACAGAGAAGGCCTCTGAATCCAGTCAAGCCTTCAATCTAAGTTCCTGTGGTCCAACACAGAGCATTTAGGGGTTCAAATTAAATTAAACCACAAGGAAACAGTCAGCTTAATTTAGGTTGTGGGACATTCTACAAAGCCTCTGACCTACACTCTTGAAAAATTCACTGCCATGAAAGAAATTAGAGAACCATCTTTTTAAAATTTTATAGAGACAAAGCAATCCATTTGTTGAATTTTTGTTTAAAAAAAACAACATGTAAAAAATGTTTTGGGTTTAACTGGGGAAACATGATTAGGAAAGAGAAAGCAGGTGATAACAGAGAATTAGTATTAATAATCAAAAGTGTGATAATTCATGGGAGGGTATTATGGAATGAATTGTGTCCCCCCAAATTCATATACTGAAAACTGAATGTGGCTGTATTTGGAGATAAGGCTTTAAAGAAAGTAATTAAGTTTAAATGAGGTCATAAGAGTGGGGCCCTAATCCAATAGGACTGGTGTCCTTTTAAGAAGAGGAAGAGATACCAGGAGAGTGTTTGCAGAGAGGAAAGGCCATGTGAGGACACAATGAGAAGGCAGCCATCTGCAAGCCAAGGACAGAGGCCTCAGGCGAAACCAAACCTGGTAACACCTTGACCTGAGGTTTCTAGTTTCCAGACTGTGAGAAAATATATTTCTGTTGTTTAAGCCACACAGTCTGTGGCATTTTGTTATGGCAGTCCTAGCAGACTAGTACAGAGGGCTATGACAATGATGTCTTTATTCATAGAAGAAGTAATATTTTTTTAATTTATTATTATTTTTTTACATTCTAAGATGCTGTTGCAGAGGAGGGGCAGACTAGTACAGAGGGCTATGACAATGATGTCTTTATTCATAGAAGAAGTAATATTTTTTAAATTTATTATTATTTTTTTACATTCTAAGATGCTGTTGCAGAGGAGGGGAGGAGGGGAGGGGGGAAGAAAACAGGGTGGGAGGAGTAAAAAGATGGGGGGCTTGGTTGAGGCCTGTGGCACCCCCCTCATTCCAGCAGGGGAGACCAGGCGGGTTCCAGCAGTGGCTTGGTGGTCATTGCTGGGCTGGTTGCACATGTTGGGGAAGCATGGATGAGGCCCTCACCCCCACCCCCACCCCGGCTCCAGAGCCTCGGATGCTATCTGTGACGGCTCAGTGGTTGTCACTGGGCTGGTTGTGGTAATTCCGGGGGCATTGCTGAGGCCCACAGCCCTCTCCCGTCCCTGGCTTGGAAGCCCACGGGGCTTCCAGTCCTTCTAGGTTTTATAGGTATTCTTTAGTGGTGTTAGACCTTAGACCTTTACTGGTTAATATCTGAACTTTGTTTCTGATCTGTGGGTTTTTTGCTTTTTCTTTCAGTTTTGTGTTGTTCACTATTCCCACCACTTAAACTCTGCACTGGAACTAATTTGTTGTCCTTTGCTCCCTCCAGTGGGGGAACTTCCTGTGGGAACAAGCACTTGAGTCCTGTGGTTGCACTAAATTGCTGCTTTGCTACTGATTCTCTGGGGAAGGCTTTTGTCCAGCTCAGGATTTAGTTGTTGACCTTGTAAGCACTTCCAGGTCTTATAAGGTCTGGTACACCTGAGTTGTATGGAAACTCTGGTCTGGGCCCGAGTCTTTACAGGAAACTGCATCCCTGCAGATCTATACTTTTGACCAGTCTCCACTGAGTGGGTCTGTGCTGATTGGAAGGCAGATGAACTGTCTTTGCTGTGCCCCAGTGTTCCCTCAGTTGGCCCATCTGCCCCCCCTACTCCAAACACTTCCCATTGGGTGGGCAGTGCACAGATCCCTTGCAATGACTCACCAGCCTCTGAGTGGCTCCTTTTTTCAGTTCTTTGTGGCCTCTCGCTCCTGTGTGCGTCCATGGGAACCCTGTTAGTGGTCTTGCTGGCCTGGGGGCCACTAAGGCCCTCTTCTCCCCTGAAGCCTCCAAGCAACTTCATATGAAAGGCACAGCAGTGGCTTTTGGCAGTTCTTGCTCTGTGTACTCACCAGAGCCAGACTTGAAGTGCTCAGGGCTCAAAATGGTTGGAGTGGTCCTTTCTTTCTCTCATTTTGGCTTCTCCTGCCTTCACGAACTCCATAGGTCTCTCCTCCTTTTCCCCTGAGCTCTAGCAGCCCCAGCTTGGCAGTCATTGCTTTTTAATAGTTGTATAATGGTTGATTGTGGGAGAAGGTGACACTTGGTACCTTCTATTCTGCCATCTTGATTGGAAGTCTACTCAAGTATCTTTTCTAACCACAATGGTATAAAAGTTTAGTTTTTCCAAACAGATGGAACATGGGTCTGATCCAGTCTTCGGATTCAGTAGCCAACTTGCAGGAAACAAAAAATGGAAGAACATGTTGGACCGCACCAAGTGCATCAATCAGCAAAACACAGACTATGGGAAACTCTGCAGGTTTAACAGCCCAAATTCTTCAACTTGAAATTTTCTCAATTTATCTTGAAATGTCTGTATTTAGCTCTCATTTTTGAAAGATCGTCTTGCTGGATATAGGATTCTTGGTTACCAGATTTTTTTCTTTCAGCACTCTGAATATTTCTTCCTGCTGCCTTCTAGTCTCCATTGTTTCTGATGAGAAGTCAAATGTTAATCTTATTGGGGTTCCCTTGTAATTGATCAGTTGTTTTTCTCCTGGTGCTTTCAAGATTTCTTCCTTGACTTTGCTTTCAGCATTTTTACTCTGATATGTTTGTGGACCTCTTACATTTGTTGAGCTTTCTGGCTGCATAAATTAGTATTTGTCAGTAAGTATGGGCAGATTGCAGCCCTTTTTCTTTGAATATTTTTTCTGCTCCTTTATTGCTGCTCATTCTACTATTCCCACTATGCATATAATGGTGTACTTTAACAGTGTTCCACATTTCTCTAAGGCTCTGTTCATTTTTCTTCCTTCTTTTTTTTCTTTCTTTCTTTTTTAAAATTTATTTTATTTATTGAATCAAAATCGATTATACATATTTTGGGGGTTGAACATTGAGGTATGTTAATCAAATCAATATTACTAGCACATATATTGTTACAAATTATACTTATTCTTTATGCTTCTTGTCCAATTTCTCCTCTTCCCCCTCCCCCTCCCACCTCTAATTACCCTAGATTTTTTCTCTCCTTCTGAAAGAATAATGGTTACTCTGTTGATTTGTTGGCTAGATGATCTGTCCAAAGCTGAGAAGTGTAATCAGTACCCCAATATTGTTGTAGAGCAGATGCTTCTTCTGTCACTCTGAAATGGGCTTTGTGGAGAGAGACATCCTCTTCTTTTCTTTATCTCTGCTGGTGACTCTCCTTGTGTGAATGCACTCCAGTGGTTGGCGGACCATCTGCATGGTCGTTGTGGTGTCTAGCTATTTTCATGGCAGCCATAGTTATTGTGGTGGCTGTGGGGGCCACCCACATGGAGGTGATGTTTTTGGCATGCTCCTTGGCATTGGCGGTGTGCCTGGTTGTGGGGTGTCTGGTCCCCTTCTCCATGCCTCTGGTTCATGGATGGGCCCCAAGGCACTGGCGCCATGTGCCTGGTTGTGGGGGGGGTCTGGTCCCTGGCTCCATGCCCTGGGTTCCCAGGCAGGTGCTGGCACGGCATGTTGGTTGTGGGAGAGGGATCTGGTCCCCTTCTCCATGCCTTGGGTCACCAGGCCACCCACATGGAGGTGATGTTTTTGGCATGCTCCTTGGCATTGGCGGTGTGCCTGGTTGCGGGGTGTCTGGTCCCCTTCTCCATGCCTCTGGTCCATGGATGGGCCCCAAGGCACTGGCGCCATGTGCCTGGTTGTGGGGGGGGTCTGGTCCCTGGCTCCATGCCCTGGGTTCCCAGGCCGGCCCTGAGGTGCTGGCACGGCATGTTGGTTGTGGGAGAGGGATCTGGTCCCCTTCTCCATGCCTTGGGTCACCGGGCTGGTCCCGTGGCGCTGGTGCAATTTGCCTGGATATGGGAGTGGGGTCCGGTCCCCAGCTCCAAGCCTCCAGTTCGTAGGGCAGACCCTAAGGTGATGGTGCTGTGCCTGGTCCAGAACTAGCTTTTTGTCCTTTGCTTACTTCTAACACTGGGGAACTTCCTGTGGGAATCTGTACTTGAGCTATGTGGTTGAGTTAAATGGCTGCTTTGCTGCTACTTCCCTAGGGAAGGCTTTTTGTGCAGCTCAGGGTTTAATGTTTGATCTTATAGGTACTTCTGGCTCTCCAGAGACCCAGTGGATCTGTGTTTTGTAGAATCTTTAATCTGTGCCTGAGTTTTTTCATCAAACTGCACCCCATGCAATTCTGCATTCCCAACCAGTCTCCTCTGACTGGTCCTGCACTGACTGGGGGACGGGTTGGCTGTTCTTGCTCTGTCCCAGTGTTCTGCCGTTGGGCCTGTCTCCCCCACCACCCGTGTGCC